GAGAGGGAGGATGGGGTGGGGGTGGTTTCAGCAGGCCGCTGTTCCCCCTCCTTCCCCATTGACCTGTCCATCCATCACCCGTCATCCATCGTCATAGACACCCCTCTGTCCATCCTTTCATCCATCCATCGCCGTACTCTTCTTCTTATCCATCCATCTGTCCATCCACCTATCTCTGTCCAATCCCATCCACTCCTGTCCATCCGCCCGTCCCCACACGCAACCAATCCTCCGTCCATCCCTCCCCATGGCCAACCAATCCTTCCCTCCCATCATCCTTCCCTGTCTCCGCTCGTCCATCTCTCCCTCCCCACCATCCATCTGTCCCTCCCCTTGTCCTTCAGTCCCTCCAATCCCACCTGCTCTCCACCTCCTCCACGGTCTCGGGCAGTGCCGTGTCCCGTGTCTCCGGCAGGAAGATGGCCACCAGCCCCGACACCACCGGGGCTGCCCCGTAGATGATGAAGGGCAACGCGGGGAAGACCTCACCTGCTATCTTCACCAAGGGGGCCGTGATGCTGCCCAGACGGGCCATGGTGTTGGCCAACCCCATGCCCGTCTGCCTGTGGAACACCGAGGGACCAGCCGGCGTGGTCACGGCCACCCCATCACCTCCCGCCACCTCCACCCCCGCTCCTTACCGAATAACGGTGGGGTAGAGCTCACCCGTGTAGAGGTAGACGCAGTTGAAGGACGCGGCCAAGCAACCTTTCCCGAAGACGGCCAAGGCAGTCCGGAGCGTCCGCAGGTCTGTGGGGATGAGGACAGGACATCTGGGACTCACTTTGGTGTCGCTAGTTGGAGCGTGGGGTTGGGTTGATGGTGGGTGATGGAGAGAGGAAACGCCAAACACCAGGATTTCAGGCAAATCGCCTGTAAAAAGCTAAAAATCACTCGGCCTGTGAGTTGTCTTAATGGGTTGAGCTTGTTTTGGCCCTCCCAGGTGGTGCTTGATGGGCTGGAGACGAAGGGGAAGCCACTGCCACCACCCCCCCGCAGCCCTCACCTCGTGGCACCAAGATGTTGGCCAAGATGGCCAAGCCAGCCAGGATGAGGGAAACGGACTGGCTGAAGCGTCGCCCCACGAAGGTGATGGTGAGGATGGAGACCAGCTTGGCCGGGATGTCCACGGCCCCAAAGATGAGTTGGATCACGTAGATGTCGAAGTCAAAGTTTTGCAGGTCCATGGCCAGCCCGTAGTAGGCGAAGCTGGTGGAGAACCTAGGCCAAGAAGAGGTGAGGTGTGGGGGGCGAATGTCACTGGTGAGGAGGTGTGGGGTGGGATGTGGGGGGGTCACACACCATCCCCTGGCCTGTGGGATCCAGCCAGGAGATCTGTGTCCCGGAGCACGTGTAGGCCAAGAGATCTCTCTTGACCGAGTCCTGCACCGTGACTCAGTTTCCCTTTCCAATAAGGACCCAACTAAGGGGGGTGTTTGGGGAGGGGTGGATAGCGGGATGGATCAACAACTGTCCACCCACTGATGTCCTCCACCGCCGGGCGTACCAGACAAAGCAGAGGCAACAAGAGATGCGGCGCACGACGGGCGTCCGGACCAGGTCAACCACCGTGTGGCGACTCGTCGATGAAGTCATCTCCTTCTGCAT